TAACGAGGTTTACAAATATGCTGCAAAATGTTAAAATGTGCGGGCGCTTTTCCCCCCCCCCCTTTCCCCTCCCCTACCCCGTTCCGGCGCGGGAGCTGTGCTCCGGCAGCGGCACAGGAGGGATTTCCCGGCGGAGGGCTCCCCGTACCCCACTGTTAATTCACAGATATTTTGTTCCCATTATTTAAAAGTGCTGTTCAGCTCCAAACCAGCTGTAGGAATGACGGGTTCAAATCAGAAGGTCAGTGCTGCTAAATGGGATTTAATTGCACGGGGGTGGAGGTACAAACTGATGAATCTGAATAATAAAACTTTGTGGGGAGCAACATATGGCGCGGTTTAAAGTAAATTTTTATTGATCATCCCACAACTGATGTGTTAATGGGATGGCAGTCATTGCTTTGGGTTTGGTATTGATGTGGAGTTTTAATAATGTCACACAGGAATATTGCGGAGGGGTTTATAATTTAAAAAAAAAAAAGTGTTTTAACTGCCTTATTCTTCTTAACACAGGGGAGAATACATTACACCGCTATTGTACGTCCTCCAGATCGAGGTTACGTGTAATTGCTCGGTAATTGGTAGAACCATGTAAAAGCCATGGTATTTGCCAGTAAACCCTCTTAAGTTACCATGAAATTGAAGTGTGATATTTATTCTCGGCGAAACTTGCTACCCCAAATATCGTGTACGATCAGGGTGGGTCACCGCGGAGGCGTTTCTGCAGGGGCCGTGCCGTGCGTAACGCCTGCACGGCTCGGATTTGGCACCGATATCGTCCTCATGATGGGGTCGGGGGGTCTGGCTGGGAGGCTGAGGGGTTCTTTTGCTTCAAGGGGAGATGCTTTAACCTCCCTCGGGCGTCAGCCTCAGGATTATTGCAGTTATTCCCAGGCCCAACTCAGAGTGATGGAGGTTTGGAGGTAGCTGAAGAAGTTCTCGTGTTTTCAGTGGGACGGGGAATAGCAATTCCACCCACGATGGTTTTTGAAGCCTCCGTAGATAAAGTGTTTGCCGGTACGCTAGGGGTACGTCCTCGGGTCGCCTGTATTTTACGTAGGATGTCCAAGACTGCTCCCATCTTGGCAATTCCCATCATTTAACCACGACTCTGGTTTAGACACCTCCAGCCCTGCAGGCGTGTGTGGGCTCGCGTGCGAGGAACCTCCTTTCGTGGCCTTTTCCCTCCGACGGAGGTTTTGTGCCTCCTCCTCCGTGTGAAAAGGCTGGGTGGATCCCGTGATCCCTCCTCATCGCCTGCCGCTTGGCTTTAAATACGAGCAGAAGTAATTGCCTTGCTTATGATCAATAGTTTTATATACTTTAAAAACGTAACGCTCCGCTGCGAATTGATGCAAAGTTAAACCTGCCAATTTCTTTTTTTTTTTTTCGCTGGCCTGTTTTTAGAAGCTGCCAACTCAGCAGTGTTTCCCCTGCCTCGGGAAGCGGCAGCTCAGCTCTTTTCTCTGAAGATCTGAACATCGCGTCCTGCGCGTCCCACGGAGCCGGCCCCGACTCTGCCAGGGCCCCTTGCACGGATGGAAGCTGTAGTGCCTGCAGTTGGGTATAAATTGTCCTTTCTTAACATTTTTAAAGCTGCCTTTGAGAGGTTTGTACAGCAGACTGCCTGCCCCGGCGGGTTCGGGGTCCTGGCGAGGTGTTACTAAAGTGTCCGAGCACCAAACTGCCCAGGGGCGAAGCCTCCACGCTTATATAAATCATCAGCACTATTCCAATATTTAATTAATTATGGGAGCAATCCCTCCCTGCAGGAGGCAACGGATAGTCAAACGATGCTTTCCCTCCCCTCCTCTTTCCATCACCCAAAACTGCAGTGGTTTTCCCCATTTCGAAAGCTGTTGCTGCAGATTTGCCTTTTCCTTCGTACTTCTGAGCCGCCCCCTGGGTGCTGTTCACCGTCACCCTCGTTTGCAGGCGCGCCTGGGCACACCGGCGCAGCCCCACGGCAACCCCTCCCCTGCGGGTGCCGGTGCTTTGGGAAATGTCCCCTTTCCCTCCGTGGTGTTGGGTGGTCGGGGCATGGGAGAGAGAAAGGAGG